GAGGTCGGCCGCAAGGGCGGTTGCGCCCTTGCCGCCTCGGCGTTAAATACAACAACAACAACAAATCTGGTATAATCAGGTCAGCACCGCTTGAATTGGCCCCCAAATATGAGGCGGTGTCTTACGCCTGGGGCGCTGAAGACTTCACCGATGCGCTGAATGTCGTCTGCGACACTGGGTCAACGTCGACATCGAGCGAAACGAAAGATGTCAGAAGTATCTCAATAACGCCCAATGTCACGTCTCTTCTAAACTCCCTCCGCTATCCCAACGAGCCTCGCGTTCTATGGATCGATGCCATTTGCATCAACCAAGCCAATGCCTCCGAGAGGAGTGCGCAGGTGCAGCAAATGCGGCAGATCTACAGCCGTGCGCAACGCGTTATTATCTGGCTGGGCTTGGCGACTGAGGACGGTGAAAGCGATCGGGCCTTGCGCTTCCTTCAAAGGATGGGAACATACAAGAAGAAATATGACCAGAGACCGTTTTCGGATGACGAGACTTCCGAGTTTAGCCAGGATGAGTCTTTGACTCTCAGTGATCTTAGAGATCCTAAACGTGGAGGTGATAGTGAGGCAGTTGACAATGACGTTGACGCGGCTGCAAGCGACGTTGACGCAGCTGAAATTGACGTTGACACAGCTGGCAGCGACGCTGACACAGTTGATAGCTACGACGAGGTTGACTCGCAGACCCTCCTTACGCCAGTGGAAGCCGCTGAATTCGCTGAGCTTACAAGGTCAACCGTCATTGCTAGCTTCTTGAATTGGTTCCGAAGTTGGGCCAAAAAAGCAATAGAGCTGTTCCAGAGTTGCGCCCTACGTGTTGGCCTGAACTGTGGGAGTGGCCGCGCCAGAGACAAATTTGACGAGATGAGGAAGAAAAAGTGGGAGCAACATGAAGCTATGATTCGTGGGGAACTGCCTCGTACGTGGACCAGGTTTCTGGAGCGTATGAAGTTCTGGGAACGCAGAGCACAGAATGGTAAACAGGAGAGAGCGAGGATGGCCTGGGCGGCTGACATCAATATCATGGAACCAAATGTTGGCCATGTCGCCATCGGCTATCCTGTCCTTTGCGACATGTTCGGCCATCCATTGGCGTCTTTTTTCCATGAAAGTTTCCAAACCCACTGGGCCGCAGTCGATAACCTTCTCGGCCGGCAATGGTGGAGCCGCACCTGGGTTGTTCAAGAAGTCTGGAGCGCAAGTGACAGGAGCGCAAGTGACAGAGCAATTGTTCAATGCGGGAAGAAGACCATCAGGTGGAAGATCTTTCAGAGGGCCATGTCTTATCATGAATATTGGGATGACATAGGCAAAACAATGAAAGACAGCAGCGACTGCCGAGTCGGAGTTTGGGCGCAACTTCAGAGGCGTTACGGGTTGGCTCTTCATCTGTGTAAGATGAGACTCCTCAACGGAAAGCTTTCGGACCTGTTGTGGAACACCTGGGACCGAGACGCAACTGATCCGAGGGACAAAGTGTTCGCGGTCTTGGGTCTCGTCGGCGAAGAAAACCGCTCCCTAATGATCCCTGACTACAACAAAACTGTCAAGAAAGTATTCTGCGAGGCAGCTAGGGATATTATACGCACGGAAGACAGTCTCGACATCCTTTTGGCAGCGGGTGGATCAAAACCCGCTTGCAACGGCGGTATGCTGCCGTCTTGGGTCCCTGACTGGCGGAAAGAGGCGAATGAGACAAGACCAGTTCTGTTTGTCAACCGCACGCGGCTACTGTCTCCCTTCTTTGGAGGCTCTATGGACTATGCGCTCGTTTTCGGGCACGGGTATGCAGCCTGCGCTGACGAGAAGGCTGTTGCCTGGTTTGGCATGAACCTCGAGACACTTCACACTCACGCCATCCTCATTGATGAGATTAGTAGTTGGTGCGGTGCCCCTCAAGGCTCTGGTCTCGTTTCAGTAGACTCGATCATTAATAAGTCCTATGCCCTGGCACAGAATGCTCTGGAGGGAAAGACAAATCACTGGTGGATAACGGATGAGAAAGTGAAGGATGAGCTACGGCCAGAGTGGATGAAGAAGAGACACTCGACTGAGTTGCGAGGAATCATCGAAAGGGTCTTGTGTGCGGGCTCGGCGGGCGAGAAGACCGTTGCTCAAGTCGTTCAAAACATCATGCCACTTCGCCGATTCTTCGTCACAAAAGGGGAACGATATATGGGTATTGGTCCTGCTTCACTCAAACCCGGTGACAAAGTTTATGTCCTAGCCGGGTGTAACTTCCCCCTTATCCTCAGAGAGATTGTAGACGAGAATGGTGACAGAAATGGGGAGTTTGAACTTATCGGGGAAGCCTACGGTACGTCAATGATTGAATGCTGTTAATCTAGATGTTTCTAATGGCCCCTTTTCTCGCAGTTCACGGAATCATGGCCGGAGAAGCAATTTCAAGGATCAAGGAGACAACGTGGTGGGAAGACCTTGCTTGGTGGAATTCGAGGAAAACTGTGAAATGGAGTGAAATTATTATTCGCTAGAGACGAATCATCGACCGCGTAACGTAAACGTTAGTGTGAGAGAGAAGAAGCAAAAGCCAGGTGAGAAATGACTTGCGAGGCATCGTTGACATGATTTTGTGTGCCGGTTCTGCGGCCGATAGCACTACTTCCGACCTCATACAAAACGTAATGTCGCTGAGGCGGTTCTTCGTCACGAAGATTAAGAATGAGAGATACATGTGCATTGGTCCCGCTGTGCTGCGATCAGGCGACAAGGTCTTTATCATAACTGGTTGCAACTTTATATCGTTCAGAGAGAGAAAGTGAGCGGCTACGGAAGGGTCATGGGAAGATTCGAAGTTATGGGGGAAGCCTATGGTGACTTCTTAGGCGGTGCACTATCCAGAAAAGTTGTCTAGAACATGTAGTGCATTCCATTATGGCCGGAGAAGCGCTTTCTAAGATTAAAGAAACAACCTGGTGGGAAGATCTTCTCTGTTCTCGCCCCTTGAAGCGAGTGAGGTGGCTCGAGGTTGCGATACATCGAGATAGGCCCCTTTCGCAAAATGCGCGACAACAAGAGGTTCGACTATCTTTGCTCTCGAGAAAGCTTGATGTGGGCCATACTTGTTTGGTGTTAATAGACGAAATCGGTTATGATCATAACGATATTTGAGAAATTGAAGGATTAGATTACCCGCACCCCCTTGGGGCAATCGGGGAGTTGCATGCATTTTGTTGACCGAGCCCTGTATTCGGCAGCAGAACGATGGCAGAAATGCAATTATTGATTCAAAAAGGACCATCTGTACCTTGGCCTGCGTCTCGGATCCCCTTTTCGGTTCACTTTTGCTGACGGTGGCGCCATCAGCCTGATATGATTCAATGCAAGTTGACCGAAGTTGGAGTGGACGATAAAAAGGGCACCAACGGAATGCTTGCTTGCCTGTGTGACCTCGCGAGTAAGCCAGACCGTTGGTGGGTAAGACAGAGCCTGACGGAATGTTTGAGCTATCTAGACATGGCGGCTAGGATGGAGTTCCTGGCTTCGAATTTCTCTATTAAAGTAGTTGGGTAAAGCCAGCCTTGGATTCAAAGAGTTGACCCAAGCTTATGTCGGCAGCTCCTTTTACGGCGAACCCTCTAAGATCATTATGTCTTCCCTGGACAGGCCAGACCGTGCTGATAGCACAACTCCATGGGAAGATTCAGGGATAGGGATGACGAGGTTGATATCCGGTTCAAACAGCTCAACTTTTGTCAAAGGGCAGTCACAGCACCAGCCTCGAGCTGGGACGGAGGAATCAATTCAGACGAAGTGAGCCCCATTTTTGCGTGATGAAGGCAACCGATGAAGCGGTGTACCTCCGGCCTCAATCTGTTAGTTTTGATACTGATCCCCTCGCGTCTTTGGACCAGGCCGAATTTTCAATGGAAGGAGATTATCCATAACACTCTGAAGGCATGGAGTTTGCACTCTCTCTATCGCCTCTTCTATGGTAAAGTGCATGGCCGTACGAAAGTGGTCATTTACAAGCACCGACCCATGGCACTATTAGCCGCATTCATACATTTCCCTCCCATCATAGCAACTGCTATCATGGCTCGCTTCATTTTCCGCGAACACTGGGTTGGGGCCCACCTAACACCGCTTCGTGCGTGGGATAAGCAGGCCGCTTTGGCTATTCAATTTGCTGCAAAGCTCATCGAGAGCTTCATTATCGGATCTCTTACCACAATGGTCTTCACGTTTGTGCGCATGGAGGCAACTATGCCGCAAGGCATACCATTGGCAGCCTTTTTCGCCAGCCACGAATACAGGTCTCCAAGCTTCATATGGTCGAATGACATATTCGCTATGTTGCGAGGGCAATTCTCCTCCGTCTGGAAGAAAGGCTTCTTTATTGTCTTTTCACTCACATGCTGTGCATTGGCCGTACTAGCCGCTCCTGCAATCGCAACCATCTTGATGCCCATTCAAGACTGGTACAAATTAGGCGATTCGTGGGCCTGGATCGATGTCTCAATTCAAGAGATGTATCCCAGTATGATGACAGCCAATAATACCCTCTATGGAGAGATATGCCACGTCACCGGCGATCTACGCTGTCCATCAGCTGGTTGGGAATCGTTAGAGCAACTTGCGAGCTTTTTTCCGGGCCAGAGGAAACTTGAGGTGGAGAACCCTTTGTACACCCGACCTCCAGGACTGTGGCCTCTACCTACGACGGAGTCTGTGCTGCTAGCCAGTCTATCCGTTCGCGAGCCTGTTGAAAACCCGGAGATGCGGTGGGAGGATTCCAGGATGATGTTGCCTCCCTGTGCAACGGGTGCAGGCCTCGTCAAAATAACGGCGCTCTGGGAAACGGCCATGACACGCATGGGACAAGAAAACAAGAGAAATTACAGAGGATCTGATTCCCGGTACACCACGTACTCGGAGGTGGCATCGATCACGACACGGTGCTTGGCTAGGAACGATAATCGATCACTACAATTTCCCGATGTCCGAAACCCCCAAACGCTATACAGCCCTATGATAATCGAAGATGTTGATACGGAGGATCTTCTGAAGAGTATGAACGGTTCTATTCCTGAACTGTTCTTCTTTGACATCAACCCGGAGGGAGACTTGGCAGCGAATGCCTCAATCGGGTCTGTTGTCTCCCTTCCGGTCGAAGGGAACGAGCCTGCGCTTTATGGTTGCATAACCAACGCCCAATGGACGGCCGCCCAAATTCATGTGTTTCAGTACTACCATGTCAAGACGCAAGAATGGTTCGAAAAGAGTGACTGGGGCTCCAACCGTATGATCACCATCCGTACATCCTATGCGAACCTCAGCAATCCTATTGTGGGAAAGACCAATACAACTGTCTTCCAGAGGCTTGCCACCACTGCTGGGCTTGCCTCACTCGAGAACAGGGGGCCGGACTGGACACCGTGTCACATTGAGACGTTGATCAACGGCATGCTCATCAACGCGATGGGGCGCACGGCACCCAATGCCCATCTTATCACAACGCTCAAAGATGAGAATGGTGCGTGGTGGCGTCACTTCTTTCCGCGGAGTCGCCTCTTCGAGCGCTAAGACGCCGCAATAGATGAGGCCGCCTTTGCCGTCGAAGAAGCCGATCAGTCACGTTTTGCCTCATTTTATTTCCGCGCGGAAATGCAAGGTTTTGCGTATAGCAACCAAGACAATACGGTAAGAAACCTGGTGTTCGGGTTGTTCGTGTACTGTGGTATAGCTGGGCTTTTCGTGCTGTGGAGTGTGGGAAGGGGCATCACGAGCTCAAGTTGGGATTCAATTCTAGAGCTGTTGGCACTAGCCATGCGGAGTCCGCCTCCAGGATACTTCACAATGCCGACTAGTGTCTTGGAAGACACCAAAGTGCTTAGCCATAGGTACGGCATCATGGCCGAAAAGGAGTCGGTGCTTCTGCTACCGATAGATGACCATGGAAGGTTTCCGAAAGACAACACGACGAGGGTAGAGCCGAACAAAACGTACCGGTGAGGGATTGTTCGGATAACACAACCATGAAGTAAAACTTAGAGTGACTAATGAAATGCCAATCTGATAGAGGTAGAAAGACGAGACAATGCATTTCTTATCATCAGTTGCAAGAAACGAAAAGTTTTACTTCAAGTGGGAAAAGAAAGGCGCCTTGAAACATCGAAACAGAAATCTTTATGTACCAATGTTGCAGTTGATACTGTGGAGGCACCTGGTGCCAGGTGTCCTCCTGCCCATATGGGGCCTTCTCCAGCCCACACTGCTGGCAGCCACTTTCTCCCATAGACACCAACAGACCCTCGATTCACCACTCACTCCTGTGGCCTCTATAGATACAAGGCAGATTTGGGTAAGGTTAGCTCAACGAACTGAAGCCATTCACATCCACGTCCCAACCACCAAGTAGCGTCATTGAAACGAATTGACAATAAGGAACCAGTAACCTCTGAGCAAGATTCTATGGACAAATTGGGGAGCACTTACATGTGCCGACTAATCACGGGCTCCATGTATGTAGGTATCGCGCTGAAACAAGTCCGATACATGCATACGGTCAAAGCTCTATCGATAAGCGGATAACGTCGCGATCGCGCCGCACTGAGGATTCAGCTGCCGCCTCGGCACGCCCCCTGTCGGATTCATTGGATAACCTCCTCTTAGACAAACGCCATAAAACACACGGCTATGCTGGCAATGGACAGCCCACCAAGCCAGAAAGCCCAACCGTCGTGATGCTGAGCGGCACGTGTCTCAGGCTGTCCCTAGTGGTCGCCGTTTTCCTCATCGCCGCGATATTCCTCGTCCCCCAGCTCCCCCATGTCGGCTACAGTCCTCCCACCCCGGTGAACAACCATGCGCCAACAGCGCCGGCCAAAGACGCCGCCAACAACGCGAACAAGGGCGGTAATGATGTCGCTGCCACGATCTCCTCGACCGCTGCCGCCGTGACGGCATCGTCTGCGCCCTCGAAACCCGCGACACCGGCATCCGACCCATCCAAAGATGCGCAACCAACCTCCAAGACGCCGTCGAAGCTCGAAGCCGGCCAGACGCTCTCCCCCTTCCACCTGAACTCCCCGTCCGGCCGCTACTCCCTCCGCCTCCTCGACAGCGGCGCCCTCTCCCTCACCGACACCAAGACCGAAGCCGAGCTCTTCACCTCCGACACCGAATACCACTGGCCCGTCTCGTGGCAGATCGAGCTCACCCAGGAGGGCGTCCTCATGCTCTCCTGGTCCAACTCGACGGCCGCCCCCTACGGCGCCACCCCGTGGATCTCCAACCTCCTCCCCGACTGCGCCTCCGCCGACTCCAGCGACGGCGCCGCTGAAAAGCCCGTCCTCGAGCTGCTCGACAGCGGCAAGCTGCACATCCGCGCCGGCTCCAAGACCACCTGCACCCTCCACCGCGCCGCCGACGACATGGGCCGCGCCGCCATCGTCTACACTGGCTTCCTGCGCACCTACCTCCAGACCTGCAAGGCGCAGAACGACAAGCTCGTCAAGACCTGGACCGGCTCCGGCGGCGTCGACGTCCACGTCTTCACCTACGACACGGACGTCTACGACGCCGCCGGCGACAAGGACACCTCCGACGAGGCCACCATCGCCAAGAACCTCCGCGCCTGCTTCGGGGACGCCCTCAAGACCGTCGTCGTAAAGAAGCTCGACGACGTCAAGGAGAAGGCCGTCGACCCGCCCGACGTCCTCGTCAAGGCCTGCGGCGCCGACAAGCTCAACCACCAGCTGAGCCAGTGGAAGGCGCTCTACCTCGCCGCGCAGCAGGTCCAGCGCTACATGGTCGAGAAGGGCGTGTCGTACGACTACATCTACAAGGGCCGCCTCGACCTGCAGTTCTGGGGCGACGGCTCCCCCGCGCTGTCGTCGCTAAAAGTGCCTGACAACGGCATCCTCGCCCCGCGCGTCGCGCTCGACTGGACGTGGTACTCGATGCTGCACGACGGCGAGCTGCGCGCCGGCGTCACCGACATCACGGCCTTCGGCCGCCCCAACGCCATGTTCACGTACCTGTCCCTCTACCGCGAGTTCGTCAACCTGCGCACCGTCGAGAAGGAGGGCGGCCGGTGGAAGGCGTTCAACACGCACTCGCGGGAGAAGACGTTCAGCGGGCAGGAGCCGTGTACGCCCGAGGGCATCCTCGCGTATTGGCTCAAGATCAACGGGATCGCCGTCAAGACGGAGTGGCGCTTCCAGATGGGCCTGTTGCGGAAGAACGGGGAGGTCATTTTTACCTGTCCCGAAGGCAGAGGGTGGCTGTGTCCTAATTTCATCCCGAACGTCAACCAGGATGGCACGTTCTCGTCGTAGGCGTGCATGATAGGAAAGAATGATGATGAAAATAGTTTCACAAGAATACCCGGTGACATTACAGGCGATGAGTGCCTAGAGAATGATACGACGAGCAGCTTTTGCTTTTGCTATTGTGCTACGAGATCAACGATATTAAAGAATGCTGAATCATTGCGGTCAAACAATAAAATCTCCATTGATAATGCCTTGCCGCATGACCACATGTCTTGCTATCTCGGCTTTCTGCTTTATATGCATATCCGCTTCAGTAACGCAGAATGTCCTCCAACGCCACAACTCCCAGGCGGTATCAACACGTGCCCAGCCGTCCGTCCCAACTGCTCAAGGCTCAAAAAGGCCAAAATGCTGCAGACATTACTTTTCTCATGATGCATTCAACTGTCCTCCATTTTACTTCAAAATCAACCAACGCCAGAGAGAGATCCACTCAAATCTCCTCGACAGCAGCGTTGGGGTGAACGACGTAGACAATCTTCGCCGCAGCCGCAGACGCGCCTTCGCCGGCGTTGCCATCTTCGTCCATCAAGCCCTCGCCGCGGATGGCCATGAGGAAGTTGTTCTGTCACCTGAATTAGCATCTTTTCAACGAATCGTATGACTGGACAACTGCTTACCTTCACCATCTTCTTGAGCACCATGTTGGCCAGGGTCTTCTCCTGGTGGTAATCCTCCTCGCCCTGGAGCTCGTCCTCCTTCTGCTCAAGGTACCATTCGACAAGCTGCTCGCCCTCAACACCCTCACCACCTTCGTTCTCATCCTCGACGACATGCTGCAGGAACAGGTTAACCATGCTGACGTACTTCTCGTACGTGATGGTCTGCTTGGGTCGCGCGGGCGCGGCCTCGTCGACAGCCATGGCAGTGTCATCCTCAACGGGCTGGCCAGCGGCCTCAGATGCCGCGCGACGCAGGGTAGCGCTGTCCTCGGGCTCTTCATCATCAACCTCGACATCATCGTGCTCGACAGAGATGATACTCTGTCTGAGAAGGTTGAATGCCTCATTGACCATCGGGGGTGAGATTTCCTCAACACAGTTGGCCTTGGCGATGGCCTCGGACAGACGAATCATACTCTCGAGCTGACGAACGGTGATACGGTACGAATTCTTGCCGATTCCGCCCTGCGCGTCGTCGGCGCGGAGCTCCTTGTACCTTTCGACGAGAACCTCCCTGGCCTCGGCGGTGAATTCCGGGCGGAACGTGCGAGCGAAACGGATGTATCTTTGGAGTTGCTCGGTGCTGAATTCGGGTTCGATGGCCTCGTCACGGAGCTGGTGAAGCCCGACAATGTGCTCGGCAAGGTGGCGGTCAACGGAGTCATTGCACTCATCGAGAACAACGAAGAACAAATCAAAACGAGACATGATGGGGGCGCTCATGTTGATGTTGGCGCGGAGAGTGGTCTTGCGGTTATAGCGACCACCGACGGGGTTGGCAGCGGCGAGAATAGATGTGCGGGCGTTGAGGGTGGCTTGAATGCCGGCCTTGGCGATAGAGATGGTCTGCTGTTCCATAGCTTCGTGGATGGCAACTTGGTCGGCAATATCCATCTTGTCGAACTCGTCGATGGCGCAAATTCCGTTGTCTGCTAACATGAGAGCACCAGCCTCGATGGTGAAGTCACCTGTCTCCTCATCCTTGACGACAGCGGCCGTCAAACCAGCGGCGGAAGAAGCCTTACCACTCGTGTAGACGGCGCGGGGCGCGAAAGAACAGATGTACTTCAGGAACTGAGACTTGGAAGTAGACGGGTCACCAACAATGCAGATGTTGATGTCGCCTCTCAGTTCCATGCCTTCAGCAGTGGTCTTGTGAACACCAGACATGAGCTGGAGAAGCAGGCCCTTCTTGACGACTTCGTGGCCATAGACTGTGGGCGCCATGGATTGCACCAAACGGGAGTAAATGTGATCGCTGTGCACCATGGTACGCAGCTCGTTGATCTCGGACTCATTCATGGAAGCGAGAACAGCCGCCTGAGCAGCCTCAACCGACTCGGCAGTCTCTGCGGACTTCTCTGAGGTCAACGAGCTAATGACGTCCTGGACCTGGCCGCTGGCGGACTGACCCGCCGACGAGGTATCTGGGACGACCATGCAAGCTAGGAAGGCCATGCGGTAGGAAAGATCGCGCACACCGAGAGCCTTCAGACCCGTCACGCCAGAGCCACCAACGTCGGCAGGCTTGTCATCTCTGATTGCAGTTGGCTTCAGGCCCGGCAGGCCAAGCTGGCTGACATCT